TCTGGGGGGACTTCTAGCTCAATTGGCGTAACACAGTTTATAAAGACAATGTTCTAAATTCTACCTCTGTGAGTAGCATCTGGGGTCTTAAAAGCCTGTGAGCAGCCGTCTAAGATACTCCAATGGTCTCACCCTTCCGGGAGCAAGGAAGAAAGAAGAGAACAAGACACAAGGAAAATATTAGTCCAAACGACTAATGAACCACAGCTACCACGGCCTCTACCAGACTGAGTCCAGTACAGCTGGATGGTGCCTGGCTACCACCACTGACTGCTCTGACCGAGATCACAATACAAGGTCCTGGACAGAGCTGGAAAAGGATGTAGAACAAAATTCTAACTCACCAAAAAGACCAGATTTACTGGCCTGAGAGACTAGAGAAACCCCAAGAGTATGGCCCCCAGACACCCATTTAGCTCAGTGGTGAAGTCTCTCCCGAAGTTCACTGTTCAGCCGGGGAGTGGACAGCCCCATAAAACAAAATGGGACTAATGAGGCACAGCAGTCCAGGGACAAGGACTAAAAGGCAGAAGGGGACAAGAAAGCTGCTGATAGGGAAACCAAGGTTGAGAAAGGACAGTGTTGACATGTCGTGGGGTTGTTAACCATTGTCATAGGGCAATGTGTGTACTAAATGTTTAATGAGAAAGTATCTGTTCTGTAAACCTTCATCTAAAGTACAATTAAAAAAATAAAAAATAAAAAGAATTATTTTAGGTGAAAGGAAGGATAACACACACTACCAGGGGAAGTCAGCACAACTGGACTAAACCAAAGCTAAGAAGTTTCCTGAATATAATCAAACACTTTGAGGGACAGAGTGGTAGGGGTCTGGGAACCATGCTTTCAGGGGACATCTAGGTCAACTGGCATAACAAAGCTTATTAAGAAAATGTTCTGCATCCTACTTTGGTGAGTGGTGTCTGGGGTCTTAAAAGCTTTCAAGTGGCCATCTAAAATGCATCAGTTGGTCCCAACCACCTGGAGTGAAGGAGAATGAAGAACACCTAAGACACATGGAAAGTACTAGCCCGACAGACAGAAAGGGCCACATAAACCAGAGACTTCATCAGCCTGAGACCAGAAGAACTAGATGTTGCCTGGCTACCACCAATGACCCCCCTGACAGGGAGCACAAGAGAGAGTCCCAGATGGAGCAGGAGAAAGGTGGGGTGCAGAACTCAAATTCTAGTAAGAAGACTAGACTTAATGGTCTGACTGAGACTGGAAGAACCCTGGAAAACATGGCCCCTGGATTCTCTATCAGCCCAGAACCAAAACAATTTCTGAGGCCAACATGGGACTGGACTGTGGGACATAAAGTGATACTCATGAGGAGTGTGCCTCTTAGCTCAAGTAGATACAAGAGACTAAATGGGCAGCTTCTGTCCAGAGGTGAGATGGGAAGGCAGCGAGGGTTAGGAGCTGGTTGAACGGACATGGGGAATCAGGGGTGGAAAGGAGGAGTGTGCTGTCACAGTATGGGGAGCGCAATTAGAGTCACATAACAATGTATGTATAAGTTATTGTATGGCAAAAAATAAAAAAATAAAGAAAAACAAAAGACAGGAAAAAAAAAGGAGTGGACTTTCTGGGCCATAGGATATGTGTATGCTTGCCTTTGCTAGATAATAACAAATTGTTTTCATTGTGGATGTATCTCTTTACACTCTGACCAACAGTGTGATATGACTCACTGATCCACATCCTGACTAATATTTGCTATTATCACACTTTTTAATTTTGTCATGTTATCTGTTATTTGAAATGTTCTTTTCGACAATGAAAGTGACGCCATTCTTCTTCAATTTGTCACTCTTGGCATAGTAGACCATATGATTTTCTGACTCAAAATGGCCAATACCAGTCCATTTCAGCTCACTAATGCCTAAGATATGGATCTTTATGCATTCCATTTCATTTTTTACTACTTGCAACTTTCCTAGTTTCATACTTCATACATTCCATGTTCTGATTATTAATATATGTTTGTAGCTGTTTCTTCTCATTTTGAGTCATGCCACATCGGTAAATGAAGGTTCTGAAAGCTTGACTCTATCTACATCATTAAGGCTGACTCTACTTTCAAGAGGCAGCTCTTTCCCAGTCTTCTTTTTAGTGCCTTCCAACCTGAGGGGTTCATCTTGGCAGACAATGTTCCACTGTTATTCATAAAGTTTTCACTGGCCAATCTTTTCAGAAGTAGACTGCCAGGTCTTGCTTCTTAGTCTATCTTAGCCTTGAAGCTCCTCTGAAACCTGTCCACCATGGGTGCCCCTGCTGGTACTTGAAATATTGGTGGCATAGCTACCAGTATCACAGCAATATGCAAGCCACCACAGTACAAAAACTGACAGACTTGTGATGATCTATCCTGAAGTATACTGCTATCAGTGATAGGATAATATCTACATGCCTTCAAGGAAGACCAGTTAATAGGACTATTATTCAAATTTACTCACCAACCACTATTGCCAAAGATGAATAAACTAAAGATTTTTCCCAAATTCTTCAGTCTGAAGTTGATTAAACATGCAATCAAGATACATTGATAGTTACTGGTGATTGGAATAAAAAGTTGGAAACAAAGAGGAAAGATCTGTAGTTTGAAAATATGGTCTTGGTGATAGAAATGACACTGGAGATTGCATGATAGAACTTTGCAAGACCAATAAATAATTCATTGCAAATAACTTTTTTTCAACAACATAAATAGCGACTATACACTTGGACCTCACCAGATGGAAAACCCAGGAACTAAATCGACTACATCTGTGGAAAGAGACAATGGAAAAGCTCAGTATCATCAGTCAGAACATGGCTGGGGCTGACTGTGGAACAGACCATCAATTGCTCATATGGAAATTGAGTTGAAGTTGAAGAAAATTAAAACAAGTCCACAAGAACCAAAATACGACCTTGAGCATATTCTACTTGAATTTGAAGACCATCTCAAGAATAAATTTGATGCCTTGAACGCTAATGATCAAAGATCAGGCTAGTTGTGGGATGACAACAAGTACATCAAACATGAAGAAAGAAAAAGGTCATTACAAAAACAAGAAAGAAAGAAAAGACTAAAACAGATGTCAGAAGAGACTCTGAAACTTGCTCTTGTCATAGAGTACTTAAACCGAATGGAAGAAATGATGATGTAAAAGAGTTGAACAGAGGATTTCAACGGGCAGCTCAGGAAGACAAAGTATTATAATGAAATGTACAAAGACGTGGAGATAGAGAACCAAAAGGGAAGAACACGCTCAGCACTTCTCAAGCTGAAAGAACTGAATAAAAAACTCAGGCCTCAAGTTGCAGTATTGACGAATTCTACCAGGAAAATATTGAACAAGGTAGGAGGCATCAAAAGAAACTGGAAGAAATATACAGAATCATTGCACCAAAAATAATTAGTCAACGTTCAACCATTTCAGGAGGTAGCACATGATCACGAATCAATGGCATTTAAGGAAAAAGTCCAAACTGCACTGAGGGCATCATGGAAAACAAGGCTCGAGGAATTGACGGAATACTAATTGAGATGTTCAACAAATGGATGCAGCACTGGAGGTGCTCACTCGCCTTTGCCAAGAAATTTGAAAGACAGTTACCTGGTCAACGGACTGAAAGAGACCCATATTTGTACCCATTCCAAAGAAAGGTGATCCAACAGAATGCAGACATTTTTGACGGGTATCATTAATATCACATGCAAGTAAAATTTTGCTGAAGAAAATTTAAAAGCAGATGCAGCAGTACATCCACAGGGAACTGACAGAAATTCAAGTTGAATTCAGAAGACAACATGGAAAGAGCGATATCACTGCTGGATTGTGGCTGAAGGCAGAGAATACCACAAAGATTTTTTACTTGTGTTTTATTAACTATACAAAAGCATTCAACTGTATGGATCCATAGAAAAATATGGATAGCACTGCAAAGAATGGGTATTCCAGAACACTTAATTGTGCTCATGCAGAATCTGTACATAGACTAAGAGGCAGACGTTCAGACAGAACAAGGGGATACTGTGTGGTTCAAAATCAGGAAAGGTGTTCATCAGGGTTATATCCTTTTACCATACTTATTCAACCTGTATGCTGAGCAAATAATCTGAGAAGCTGGGCTATATGAAGAACATGGCATCGAGACTGGTGGAAGATTCATTAACAACCTGCGTTTTGCAGATGACACAGTCTTACTTGCTGAAAGCAAAGAAGGCTTGAAGCACTTACTAATGAAGATCAAAGACTACAGCCTTCAGTATAGATTACACCTCAACATAAAAATCCTCACAACTGGACCAATAAGCAGTATCATAAACAGAAAAAAGATAGAAGTTGTCAAGGATTTCATTTTACTTGGATCCACAATCAACGCCCATGGAAAGAGCAGTCAAGAAATCAAATGACTTATTTTCATTGGGAAAATCTGCTGCAAAAGACCTCTTTAAACTGTTGAAAAGCAAAGATGTCACTTTAAGGACTAAGGTGCCCCTGACTCAAGCCATGATATTTTCAATTACCTCATATGCATGCAAAAGCTGGACAACAATCTCAGCTTTCATCATTATGATATGACTTATGATACAGAGAAAAAAATAAGGGAGGTCCACTTCCTACTGATTTAATTCAGAGGCTGGGAGAGCATTTTTTGAAACTGATGTGTGTGTGTGTGTGTGTGTGTGTGTGTGTGTGAGAGAGAGAGAGAGAGAGAGGGAGAAATCAGGTTGTTAGTGAAGGGAGTTTACGTAGTGGAAATATCATAGGTCATGTCATCAGTAATTTGCTATTCATATCTGAAAACCCTATGCTTGCTCTAAACTTCAAGAGCCTCGAGAACTTCTATAGTTTGACTAAAGATCAGGGAAAATAACAGCTCAGAAGAGATAACAAAAATGTGGTCTGAGATGGTATTTATTGAATCAAATTCAATCAAATCAATGAGATCAAATTCTGAATCACACTCCTGGAAAGATTACAAAGAAAAATAGCTGTTTTTACCTAATCCATCCATGAATTTCTCCACAAACTCTGGAAATGTTCCAGGATTTGGATGAGCAGTTACCATTATATGGAAATAATAATAAGAAACAGCCACATCTTTGACATTCCGACAAAGATAGATCATCTAAGAGGACGAAATTGCGTATTTCAAAAATAGCCTCATCAAGTTTTATAATGAGCACATTTATGTTTCCAACTAGAAACATAATACATACTCATTGTAGAAAGTGTATACTATATATAAGATCTAAAAAAGACATCTCTTTCAGTAACCTGAAGTGACAGCAGGATTCAAATGTTGTCCAATATTAGTTTTCACTTTTTATTTTTATACCATTTTCACTTACCTCATTTGAGTCACACAAAATCCCCTTGATATAGATTGAGCCAGTTAAATTATTAGTATATTAAATTTATAAATGGAGAGACTAGACAGAATGAGGATAAATTATGAGGGCAAATTATTGTGAGTAAATAATTCGGTAAACCACTCTGCCAACAATACAGTCCTCTAGCCTTTATACTACACCTCCATCCTTCATACTAAAGGGGGGGGAAAAAGAGTCCTGTTGTTTCCTCATTTGCAATATTGAATAAAATATGTTTATAAGGGTCCATTTAAAAGTACACTGACCTCAGTGAAAGTATAGTCTCCGGGAATATATTGTTGAGTTTCTATTTTACATACAGTGGAAACACCAATGAACTAGGGATCAAGAAGCCTTGGTTCTAAGTGCCTGATCTCACATTAAAAAGTTCCATAATCATGTGCAAAGTACCAATCATTCTGGACATAAGTTTTCTCTCCATTAAATAAATTAGTTGCATCACGTCTTCACTGCCTCTTCTAGGTGTGATATTCAATGCTGCAGGAAGAGATCTGCCTCAACTCCAGCATTGCTGTGGTCTTCTCCTTCGATCTCAGGCACCTAAGCAATGCCATCAGAGAGGGCTGTTCCTGACACTCGACTCTTTACTGGGTATAAATCACATTACTACCTTGCCGTGCTCACGTCTCTCTATTTTCAAACAATTTTAAAGAACATTTCTAATTCATTTTTGGGAAGCGTGGCTCTCACTTTTAAGGTCCTGCTGTGAAAACCTCCAATTACTACAGAATAAAAGTGAAATTTACTTTATTAGCAAAGCCAGCAGACTTACTGAACTTTTTAAATATTATTGGCAACAATTCTCTCCAATGCTTTTCACCTAAGAGCTGAATGGAATTCTTTGTCAGTTTCTATTCATATCACTTTTCATATTCATATCATATTCATATGAATATGATTCTGAATTTTTACCCCTTGCCATTCTTCATATTATTCTTTCATTCTTGGATGTTCTCTGCATAGGATTATTAGCCATATTTTAAAGTCTGGCTCCAAGTCCTCTGTAAGGTTTTTTATGATTCTTTGGTGGAGGGGTGGGTGTGATCTCTCCTTCCCTTAAACTCTCAACTCTTTTGACAGTCCTATGCTACACTCCATTTTGTTGTTGTTGTTGCACATGTACTTCCCTTTCCTCATTATCAGCAAGGGAGTCCAAACTTCTTAACTTGGCTGCTGCTATGGACTGAATAGTGTGCCCAAAAAATATGCACTGAAGTCCTAGCCACTATATCTGTGGATGTGATCCTGTTGGAAATAAGGGGTTTTTGTTACATTAATGAGGTCATATTAGTATAGGGTGGGTCCTAAACCTCATTACTCTTAGGTTACAAAAAGAACAGAATGGACACAGAGACTCACTCAGGGAGAAGATGGACACTATATGAGGACCTGTCTACAAGCAAAGGAACACCAAGGATCACCATCAGACACCAGAAACTAGGAGAAATTCCCACAGAATAAACCAACACAACCAAGACGTTGTTTTAGACTTCCAGCCTCCAGAACTTTGAGAAAATAAATTTCTGTTATTTAAAGGTACCTAACTGTGGTATTTCTGTTACAGCAGCACTAGGTAGATAAAACAGCTTCCAATGCCTCTTATACTCAATTCCTCACTTATCTCCCTTCACTCATCCTGCCAACAAGTACACTTAAACTTCCAGTCAAACTGAACTTGCTTCAGCTCCATCCGTAATTGCTTCTGGGGTGGCAAAAACTAACTCCTATGGATGCTTCAAATATCAGCCAAGATGTTACTTACTCCTAAATGCCTTCTATGCTTCAAGTGTCTGGATTAGAACTCTTCTTTATCTATGGAGGTAAGAGACTTATAAAAAAAATAATAAAACCAAACCCATTGCTGTCAAATCGATTCCAACTCGTAGCCACCCTGTAGGAGAGAGTAGAATTGCCCTATAGGGTTTCCAATGCTCCAGGGCTATAATCTTTATGAAAGCAGACTGCCACATCTTTTCCCATGGAGAGTTTGGTGGATTTGAACCTCCAACCTCTTGGTTAGCAGATGATCACTTAACCACTGAGCACCAGGGCTTTAAGAGGCCTATAACAAAAAAAGAAACAAAACTCATTGCCGTCAAGTGGATTCTGACTCATAGCAGCCATATAGGACAGAGTATGGAATCCTAGTGGCCAAGTGGTTAAGAGATCGGCTGCTAACCCAAAGGTCGGCAGTTTGAATCCACCAGCCTCTCCTTGGAAACCCTATGAGACAGTTCTCCTCTGCCCTATATGAGTCAGAATCGACTCGACAGCCCCCAATAACAACAAGACAAGAACTGTCCTACAGAGTTTCCAAGGAATGGCTGGTGGATTTGAACCGCCAACTTTTTGGTTAGCAGCTGAATTCTTAACCACTGTACTACCAGGGCTCCAAGAGACCTAGCACCTACTATTTTGTCTGTTTACATTTCCCTTTCCTTTAATGGATGATGTGTCCATGAGGAAAAGGATGGCACGTGCCTTGTTAACTGTCACATCACTGGCACATGATAGGCACTCAATAAATATTATATACAGGAAGAAAAATTATTATAGGTATATATGTCCATATCTTCTCTTCTCTACTGTACTATAAGCTACTTAAGTTAAGGTCCTTGTCTGGTTTGTTTGTCCCACAATGCTGAATACAGTATTTTGTAAATAGAGGACACCCAATGTCACAGCGGCAACGGTAATCGGGACGGCGAAGACAGTAACCAACTGCACAACTTACAGAGAAGTGGGGCCAGGAGGGTCACTCTGAGGAGTGGACCCCGCTTCAGTCCCAGGAGTTTATTTTATAGTCAATACAGCAAGCAATAAAGCAATTAACAAAACAATGGGCTTTGGGTGTGGGCAAGGGAGAAGGAATTCAGGTAAACAAGCCAATCAGTAAAACAAATCGTGACAAGTCGCAACATGTTGGAGACAAGTCTCAACATGCTGTGCAGCATAGAGGCCTGTGGGGGCTGCAGTTGTCAATAGTGCAGCCATGTTTAAATGGCATGTATCCCCACAACGCAATACAATCAGTAACAACAAATACAAAAGCAACTACCATTACTGTTTGCAACATGCTAGGCACTGTGTTGAGCACCTTACAAGTATTATTTCATTTGATCCTTACAACAACCCTAAGAGAAGGATGCTATTATTATTCTTCTTTTACAGATGAGGAAACTGAGGCTTAGCGAGTTTAACTAGTTTTCTCAGAATCATCTCTGGTCAATGGAAGAGTTGGAATTGAAATCTAGATTCTGTGATTATACTGACTGTAGTCTATATGTATTAAATTCCTATAGATTCAATGAAAGAAAAATAAACACACCAGTGTGCACAAGGCACACTTAAGGTGATAGCTGACGTTATCATTCTTAAATTTCTTCGACTGGGATAAAGTTCTAAGAAAATTTGCCACTGTTTATCTTACAGTTCTTTTCCCAGAATAAGACGGGAAGATATTCAGGTGGCAGATAAGTCTTCACTATCCTAAGAGATGACATATCTTTTAATTGTTTTACTCCTGATTTAAAGAAAGAAAGCTAATGTAAGACAACATTAAAAATTATAAACATTTATATAGACATGTATAGTTATTTTAAAAGTAGATGTAACTTAATAGATCATATTGTATTAATAATGACAATACAAACCTACTATGAAAAATACTATAGATACATGAAATTGCAGAGAAAAATATCAAATAATATTTCATCTCCTGAGAATAATCGTTATTAACATTTTGGTAATCAACTTTCCATATATATATATATCTATATGCCCAGACTCATAGCTACACAAATACTATACACATAGATGGGATTTTTTTATATCTTCTAAATGCCTCAATATATTTTATACAAACTACAATGTCATGAAGCATAGAATATCCTAAAATTTTTAATTATTTCATAATATTATTATAACACATTTAACTATTCTATTATTAATTAACATTTAAGCTGTTCCAAATTTTTCACAATATTAAAATAATCTGTGATGAATATCCTTTTTCATATACTATTGGAAATTTATGGGCATTTTTCCAGTGTTTAAAGTATTATGAGGTTCAGCCAAATAGATGTTTATGTATTAGTAGGCTTCGATGAAAACATATGAGATGTGATTTTCACTCTGTTTCAGACACATGCTGAACCCCTCTCAAGATATAAACGTAAATTTACATACTCTCCCATGTAGAAGACATAATTCCAATTCCATCCTCTCTTATAATTTGTTTCTTGCACCATCTATATCCACACTTTAAAATACAGGCACATAGCTTTTAAAATCAGTGTAAACATTACCATCAAAGTGCTCTTCATTTGTGCATTCCAAGAAAGGTATTCGATTAAAAATGGCATCTTCTTTACACTGTTCAACATTACCTTCTTTATAGATCAAGTCTACAATTCCACTAACACAGGTTGTACCTGTAAAAATTAAGCATACTTAATAGGAGTCTCCCACTGATCATGCAGAGCTAATGACGGGAGTGCCAGATTTATAGATGGATCAATTAGGAAGATATCAGTGCAGTGTTATTTGAAGGTACAAATGTAATGTTATTTGTAGGGTGTCAGAATAGCCAGGAGAGACAAAAAAATATTTCCAAAAATGTTTAACCAACCCCAAACTAGCCTCAATAAATGAGGATGGATATTGTAATAAGACACACCTGGGGATGGAGTTGAAATTTGCCCATGAAGAATTGTAACACTCTGAAAGCTGATAACAGTTTTAGGCTTCAATTTTTACATCTAAAAGGTAAGGAGGCTTGAATATATGATGTACTCAGGCATGCTTTCAACCACAAACTTTAGTAGACAGAGTCTACTCTGTCTCAGGTTGGGTCCTAGTTCAGAGGATATAGAACCCTGGTGGAATAGTGGTTGAGTGCTATGGCTGTTAATCCAAGGGTCAGCAATTCAATCCGCCAGCAGCTCTTTGGAAATTCTGTGGAGTTGTTCTAAGCTGTCTTATGGATTGCTACGAGTCAGAATCGACTCGATGGCAACGAGTTTGTTTTTTTGGTTTAGTCCCTGCTGTACGGTGGCCAAAGGCTCCTTGAAGAGTCAGAAAATATTCAATAATTACAACACTTCCTTCTCAAGATGCTGTAAAACAGGTTGACACAAAGGTTTAAAGGACTGCAGCTGCTGTGACTTTTGAAATGCCTTCAAGAATACGTGGTAATTGAACTGAGCCTTAAATACTGGCATAAATTCACTAGTTGTGTGAGGTATGAAAGGTTTCTACCAGGCAGAGGAATTGTCTTTTTTTTTTTTAATCAAAGGCCCAGGTACTTAACAATGGTGTCTTAATCATCCAGTGCTGCTACAACAGAAATACCACAAGTGGATGGCTTTAACAAAGAGAAATTTATTTCCTCACAGTTAAAGTAGGCTAAAAGTCCAAATTCAGGGCATCAGCTCCAGGGGAAGGCTTTTTCTCTCTGTCGGCCTTCTTCTCTTTGGTGTTCCCCCGGACTCGATGCCTCTCTGCGCAGGGACCCCAGTCCAAAGGACACGCTCTGCTCCCGGCACTGCTTTCTTGATGGTATGAGGTCCCCAACTCTCTGCTTGCTTCCCTTTCCTTTTATCTCTTGAGAGATAAAAGGTGGTGCAGCCCACACCCCAGGGAAACTCCCTTTACATTAGATCATAGATGTGACCTGGGTAAGGGTGGTGTTACAATCCCACCCTAATCCTCTTTAACATAAAATTACAATCACAAAATGGAGTCCAACCGCACAATTCTGGGACTCATGGCCCAGCCAAATTGATACACACATTTTGGGGGGGACATAATTCAAACCATGACAAATGGTATACCCATTGCCATGGATTTGATTCCAGCTCATGGTGACCCTGTGTGTTACAGAGTAGGACTGCTCCATAGCATTTATCTGGCTGTAATCTTTTATGGAAGCAGATCACCAGGCCTTTCTTTTACAGAGCCATTGGCTGGATTAAAACTACCAACCTGGCGATCTGCTCCTGTAAAGATTACAGCCTAGGAAACTTTATGGGGCAGTTCTATTCTACTCTACAGGGTCACTGTGAGTCAGAATTGACTCAACGGCACACAGCAACAGTTCATCCTAAGGAGTTTGAGTTGTTTTCTAACAGTTATGGAATGCATTGATATACATTAAAAAAGATAGCAAGCATGTCAGAATTGTGTTTTAAAAGAATTTCTCTAGTGGCTGAATAGATAGGGCAATGGAGTGAGAGGTCAATGAAAGGAAAGCCAAGAAACCTAGTAAGAGGCTGACTGTGAGAATGAATGGGCAAAACATTTTGATTGATTGAATATGGGAGATGTAGAGACAAGAGGAATTGAATTTAGAATTGCTGTCAGGTTTCTTCTTTGGATGACTAATGTTTTGCATTGAGTTGTGTCCCTCTAAAAGATATATTGGAGTCCTAATCATTGGTACCTGTAAATGTGACCTTCTCTGGAAGGAGTTTTTGGAGATGTTATCAGTTAACATGAGGTCAAACTGGAGTAGGGTGGGTCCTAGTCCAACCTGGGTAATGTCCTTATAAAAGAGAAAAGACATAGGGAGACACACAGAGGAATGATGACCATGTGAAGACGCATCTACAAGCCAAGGAATACCGGGGGCTATAAGAATTGGGAGAGAAAACAAAGTATTTTCCCCTAAATTTGGAGGGAGCTATGGCCTGGAAGGCAAATTCATTTGGACTTCTACTCTCTAGAACTTTGAGACAATACATTTCAGTCCTTGCAAACCACCTAGTTTGTGGCATTTTGTTACAGCGGCCCTCAGAGACTAATACAACTGATATGGTACTATCTTTGATCCAGACAGGAAAGAGAGGTGAAGGCACAGTTTTAGGGTTAAGGTAACCAAAGACAATCAGTTTAATATTTGACGTATTTATTTTTAAGTGCTAATGAACGACCAAATAGAGAAGTCTGAATTGGACCTTCCTAATTGTTATATGCATATGATTGTATGACTCCAGAACTATCATTAAAAGTTGAGCTGATTTTTAAAAAAATGTTGCTTAATAATGGAGTTTTGTAGATAGATTTAAAGATGAGGAGACGGTTAGCTAAAAGAATTTTTAAAAATTTATAAAAGTTCTTAAACATATTTTGTAAATACAAAGATAACATTAATGACCTAAGCTAAACACAGTCTGTAGTTTGAATTGTTGTTGTTTTAAATTATAGTTAAGTTTATGTATTCATCCATCTATATTACATACATTTTTAATTTAGCCAACAATATTAATTTGTCAAAGTGCCTTTCAGTTTATAGGTACAGACGTTGGGCATGGAACAGTGGGATAATATGCCTCTTTTCTGTGTCCATATCAAAATTATTCTTTATTTAATATGGGCAATTAGCTGGAAGATGAGTAAGAAATGAACTCATTAATATTTATAATTCAAGATGGGTTTATCATTTCTATTTGAAAAAGGAACACTGTTGGCATATCAAGGTTACTTACCAGATTTGGGATAGGTGGCAATAACGAGATCCTCTGGCCTCACCTGGAAAGCCTCCACATTATCCCAATTTTCAGCAAAAGTTTCATATATTAAAAGTCCCTGAACAGTGCAAAGTTTTCCAAAATGCTCAGATTTGGAAGAATCCATCATCTAGTGGTAACTGCAAGAAAAAAGTTAAATTTTCCACTTTACACATACTTTCAAATGTTTTAACATCATCAATAATAATTATGTATATTGAGGTCCTTCTACATATCTAGGACATCTAGTTGCTGGGTGTATGGAGTAAAGGCTTATTAAAGAAGTACATGTCTTGGACTTTGTGCTTGAAGACTGTCTGATCATATTAGGAACATAGATCTAATATATAAAAGAATAAGGAAGAGGCATTATAAAGTAAAATGCTTAACTAAGTAAAAGTGTGCTATAAATAATAAGTTCTGTGATGAATGAAAACAACAGTGCCTTTAATTTCTCTGTTAAAATTGATGGGCCATATAAAAAGATGTAGAGATCCAGAAATATAACAATATTTGTCAGAGTTCAATTATGTTAACATTAAATAACAATAAAGATTGTTGATCACATTTGACAGCTATTGCAAGATCTCGAAGTCAGGTCTTTTTTAGGTTCCTAAATGTGTTCTATTTAAAGAAAAGAATTCAAATTCTTGGTGAATGGATTAAAGCAGATGAAAGTAGTGACCTTGTCATGGGTATATATAAGAGAGTACAGAGGATTCCACCTGGGACTTCCAACATTACCTTTACTTTTCTTTTCAGTTGATCGATAAAGTAGTGGACATTCCCATTGAGTAACTTGCCTGAAAATAAAAAGGTCTAACAAGTTATAGTTTGATTATTCATCTCCTGATCCCAGGACAATCCACTTAATATTCAGTTAGTCATGTTGTTATTGTTAGGTGCCATCGAGTCAGTTCCAACTCATAGCTATCCTGTATACAACAGAATGAAACACTGTCCGGTCCTGCACCATCCTCACAATCATTGTTATGCTTGAGCCCATTGTTGCAGCCACTGTGTCAATCCATCTCATTGAGGGTCTTCCTCTTTTTTGCTGACCCTCTACTTTACCAAGCATGATGACCTTCTCCAGGGACTGATCCCTCCTGATAACACGTCCAAAGTACGTGAGACATAGTTTCACCATCCTTGCTTCTAAGGAGCATTCTGGTTGTACTTTTTCCAAGATAAATTTTTTCATTCTTTTGGCAGGCCATGGTATTTTCAATATTCTTCACCAACACCACATTTCAAAAGCATTAATTCTTTGGTCCAGATTTTGTACGCATATGAGACAATTGAAAACACCATGGCTTGAGTCAGGCACACCTTAGAGGACATCTTTGCTTTCCAATATTTTAAAGAGGTCTTTGGCAGCAGATTTGCCCCATGCAATGTGTCTTTTGATTTCTTGACTGCTGCTTCCATGGGTGTTGATTGTGGATGCAAGTAAATGAAATCCTTGACAACTTCAGTCTTTTCTCCATTTATCATGATGTAGCTTACTGGTCCAGTTGTGAGGATTTTTGTTTCCTTTATGTTGAGTTGTAATCCATACTGAAGGCTGTGGTCTTTGATCTTCATTAGTAAGTGCTTTAAGTTCTCTTCACTTTCAACAAGCAAGGTTGTGTCATCTGCATAATGCAGGTTGTTAATGAGTCTTTCTGCAATCCTGATGCCCCTTTCTTCTTCATATAGTTCAGCTTCTCTGATTATTTGCTCAGCATATAGATTGAGTAAGTACAGTAAAAGGATATAGCCCTGACACACACTTTTCCTGATTTTAAACCACACAGTATCCTTTTTTCTCTTTGAATGACTGCCTCTTGGTCTGTGTACAGGTTCTGCATGAGCACAATTAAGTGTTCTGGAATTCCCATTCTTTGCAACGTTATCCATAATTTTTTATGTTCCACACAGCCGAATGCCTTTGCATAGTCAATGTCTTAGGCTGGGTTCTCCAGAGAAGCAAAACCAGTAAAGTGTATAAATATATATAGAGAGAGAAGTTTATATCAAGGGAACAGCTCACGTGATCATAGAGGCTAGAACGTCCCAAGTCTGCGCGTCAGGGTAGAGGCCTCTCTCAATTCACACAGCCGCAGAAGCTATCAAGCCCAAGATTGGCGATTAGGAGAGCAGGGCTCCCGCTCACAGGCTGTGAAGGTTGATGAATCCCAAGTTCAGCAGATAAGCTGACAGTTCAAGTCCCAAGAACTGGAGGTGAGACAACAGGAGGCAACCGCAGGATCCAGAGAGAGCAAACAGCAAGAACGTCTGCTTATGTTCAGCTGCAGGCCACACCCCCACAGAAACTCCCTTTCATCTGATTGGCTACTCAAGCAAATTCAATCATGGTAGTGATCACATATAAACACTGAAAATCATGCCCCAGCCAAGCTGACACACAATCTTAACCATCACTGTCAATAAAACACAGGTAAACATCTTTCTGATATTCTCTGCTTTCAGCCAAGATCCATCTAACATCAGTAATGATATCCCTCGTTCCACATCTTCCTCTGAATCTGGCTTGTAGTTGTGGCAGTTCCCTGTAGATGTACTGCCACAATTGCTTTAGAATTATTTTCAGCAAAATTTTACTTGCATGTGATATTAGTGATATTGTTCGATAATTTCCGCATCGTGTTGGATCATTTTTCTTTACAGTGGGCACAGATATGGATCTTTTCCAGTTGGTTGGCCAGGTAGCTGTCTTAAAAATTTCTTAGCATAGATGATTGTGTGTTTCCAAGGTTGTATCCATTTGCTGAAACATCTCAATTCATATTCTGCCAATTCCTGGAATCTTGTTTTTTGCCAATGCCTTCAGTGCAGTTTGGACTTCTTCCTTCAATACCATCAGTTCTTGATCATATACTACCTCCTGAAATGGCTGAACATCTACCAATTCTTTCTGGTTAGGTGACGTCTATTCCTTCCATTTTCTTTTGATGCTTCCAGCATCCTTCAGTATTTTGCCCATAGAATCCTTCAATAGTGCAACTCAAGGCTTGAGTGTTTTCTTCAGTTCTTTCAGCTTGGGAAATTCCACACGTGTTCTTTCCTTTTGGTTTTCTAACTCCAGGTCTTTGCATATTTCATTACAATACTTTACTTTGTCTTCCCAAACCACCCTTTGAAATCTTATGTTCAGCTGTTTTATTTCTTCATTTCTTCCTTTCACTTTATCTACTCTACATTCAAGAGCAACATTCGGAGTCTCTTCTGACATCCATTTTGGTCTGTTTCTTACTTTCCTGTCTTTTTAATGACCTTTTGCTTCCTTCATATATGATGTCCCCCCACTACTTGTCTGGTCTTTGGTCAATAGTGTTCAATGTACCAAATCTATTTTTGAGCTGGTCTCTAAATTCAGGTGGGATATACTCTAAGTAGTATTTTGGCAATTGTTGACTTTCTCTGATTTTCTTCAGCTTCATCTTGATCTTTTATATGAGCAATTGATGGTCTTCCACAGTTCCACACTTCCTTGTTCTGACTGATAATACCGAGTTTCTCCATAATCTCTTTACACAGATTTAGTCAGTTCGATTCCTCTGCATTCCATCTAGCGATGTCAATGTGTATAATTGCTGTTTATGTTGTTGGAAATAGGTATTTGCAACGAATAAGTCAATGGTCTTGAAAAACTCTATCATGTAATTTCTGGCATTGTTTCTATCACTAAGTCAGTATTTCTCAACTACAGATCCTTCTTCTCCAACTTGTGCATTCCAATCACCAGTAGTTATCAATGCATCTTGATTGCATGTTCGATCAATTTCAGACTGCAGAATTTGGCAAAAATCTTCAGTTTCTTTATCTTTGGCATAAGTGGTTGGTATGTAAATTTGACAAATAGTCATATTAACTGGTGTTCCTTGTAGAGGTATGGAGATTATACTATTACTGACAGTGTCGTATTTCAGGACAGCTTTTGAAATGTTCTTTTTCACAATGAACGTAACACCGTTCCTTTTCAATTTATCATTCCTGGCATTGTAGACCATATTATTGTCTGATTCAAAATGGTCAATATCAGTCCGTTTCAGCTCACTAATGCCCAGCTTTATGCATTCCATTTCATTTTTGTTGACTTCCAATTTTCCCTTGATTCATATTTTATACACTCCTTGTTCTGATTATTAATGGATATTTGCAGGTATTTCTTCTCATTTTGAGTCATGCCACATTGACAGTGAAGGTCCTGAAAGCTTTACTCCATCCTCATCATTCACATCAACTCTACTTTGAGGGGGCAGCTCTTTCCGATTTGTATTTTGAGTATCTTCCAAACCGAGGGGCTCATCTTCTGGCACTATGTCAGACAATTTTCCACTGCTATCCATAATGTTTTCACTAATCAGTTTTTTCAGAAGTAAATCACCAAGTTCTTATAAATATAATTGAACCAGGTAAACTGAGACATGATATAAGAATTATATTTACCTTGAAATATAAAGATTAGTACATAAAACCCTTTTAAATAATACAGGAAAGAAACAAGCAATTTTATATGGTTATAAATTTTAGGCTACATAACACCTCAAGTTTCCTGTCTTAGTCATCTAGTGCTGCTATAACAGAAATACCACAAGTGGATGGCTTTAACAAAGAGAAGTTTATTCTCTCACAGTCCAGGAGTCTACAAGTCCAAATTCAGGGCGTCAGCTCCAGGAGAAAACTTTCTCTCTCTGTCGGCTCTGGAGGAAGGTCCTTGTGATGAATCAGTCTTCCTTTGGTCTGGGAGCATCTCGGTGCAGGAACCTCAGGTCCAAAGGACGCGCTCCGCTCCGTGCACTGCTTTCTTGGTGGTATGAGGTTCCCATGTGTCTCTGCTCGCTTCTCTCTTTTATATCTCAAAAGAGATTGGCTTAAGACACTATCCAATCTTGTATACCTCATCAGTATAACCTCATCATAGTGATAAGAGTTTACAACACATACGGAAATCACATATAACCTCATCACAGTGAAAGAGTTTACAACACATAAGGAAATCACATCAGATAACACAATCATACAATACTGGGAATCATGATCTACCCAAGTTGCAGATATTTTTAGGGGACACAATTCAATCCATGACACTATCAAAGTTGTGGCTAAGCCAACAGCAATTTG